GGCTGCCCAGGGAAGTGGTTGAGTCCCCATCCCTGGGGGTATTTAAAAGACGTGTAGATGAGGCGCTGAAGGACATGGTTTAGTGGGCATGGGGGTGTTGGGTTGACGGTTGGACTGGATGATCTTAGAGGTCTTTTCCAACCTTAATGATTCTATGATTAGGCAGTTTAGAATATCTCTGTACTGTGCCCAGTTTCTCTGCTGATCAGTCTGATTTCCTGTATTCTGTTAATATTTTACATGTAGCGCCAGAGTTACCAATCCTAGAGAGGAAAAACTGGTTGATCTATCTGCTGTATGTTCGCAGAGACTACGACGAGTGCAAGGTAAGAGCTGCTTTTGAGACTTTGCATCAGGATGTTTTTTACTAATGTTATGAAATGGTAGTTTTCGTACCAGTTTTCAAACCACCCTCTTTCCTGACTTCTTTTGGAATAAGAGGACCAGGAGAAAATACAAGTAAAATAACTTTGATGTTCTCGAATCGTTGGCTACCTTCAGGATTCATGCGTGCAGTTCTTTGGAGCGTTCTGTGAGCTCAGTATGTCTTTGGGAGCGGAAAAATGGAAAGAATTGCAAACCTCTCTTGTTCCAAGAGATGAATAGGGTCTTCCAAAGTGATAATAACGCAGTTCCTTAGCGCAGGTCTCTCAATGGTACTACGGAGATGCTATGAAAAACACTTCAATAGAGTAAAACATTACTACCAAGTCTAAACAACAAAAAATCTTGGTTACCCTTGAACACAATTCTTTCATTTTACACATGATACATTGCACTCTTTAATTTCTCCTGGGTTTGGTGGGTAGCTTCGAAGCGGTCGTTTGTTTGGGATTATAATAGTAAGTGGACTAAGGAAGTGGCAGATCTATTATTAAATGGTGTGCTTTCCTGATAAAATGAACACGAGCTATTGAAGACGATGCGCCAGTGGGCAGGAGGAGGAGAGTAAGAGTTGCCTTTCTGTTTCTGTGATGTGCACAGAAGATCTGAAAAGTCTTTTTTGCTTCTGAAACACCAGGGTTGGTCAGAACTTGTCTCTCTCTGCTGGAGAACTCCTGGGGGTGCTTAGGAAAGTGGCAGGCTGGAGCAAATTCATTTAACTTTTAATTAATGGAGCCGGAGGGCTGTATCATCAGCAGAGCAATTTCCTCTCAGATCTTGGTTTAAACAGATACAAACAGAAGTTGGACTAGCAATCTAAATAGAAAATTGTTTCCTTTTTCTGTTGATCTGACTGCATTTGTTTGGTCTCTGATTGTGTACTTTCACTGTTGCTGTGATGGGATGTAGAATCACAGGGTGCAGAAAAGATGTGTAGCTCAGGAAAACAGTGAAAATAACCAAGTGGATGATATAACGGCAATATTGACTTCTCCACGTCTTCATCAGTCATGGAAGCAAGCCAAATACGGGGAAAAAAATTGCGAAAAGACAGCTAATCCTCTTTTGCTTGGCAGGCCAACTTTGCAGTAGCTGTCAAAGTAAAAGGCAGCAAAGCCTTTCCTCAGGGCTCACAAAACAGGCTTTTTGCAGTTGGAAGAGTTTGGCACCAGACCATAGCTGGTTAAATGATCTTCCATCCTTTCGCCCAGATGTGATGGATGTGTGCTCAGAGGCCTGGATTTGTCCCAAAGAAGATAGGACCCTCAGCATGCCAGGATGCTTCTTCAGTCATTGAGGGGTGATAGGCACGTCCAAAGGGCGATTCAGGTCTTAGGTGGGCTGAGATGCCCTCTGGTAGTCTCTGTCCCTCTCTGCTGGTGTTACGTGGGGTTACGGATCTAACCTGGATGCTCCGGGTGCTTGTCCTTATACGTTATAAGCATAGACATTCCCAAACGTGCTATTTGGGGCTAATACCTTCAAAAATGAAAGCGGCATTGACAGTATCCCCAGTGGCTTAAATTGCTGTTAACTCCTTGATTTGAGTATAGTTTGGGCATTCGTTAAATTCCATTAATTTTCTTTCAAGACTCAGCTAAGAAACGAGTGACCTGTGATGCTATTAACTTTTGTCTGAATCTTGCTAGACCCTCTTTCCCGCTCAGTGCTTTGAAATGCTTCCTCTCTAACACGGTTTTGAAAGCTCCCATATTTTTCAATGATGTAAAAGGACAAGAAAAAACTGTTTGTGTACATTACCTCCCCAAAGTGAAGGCATTAAACTGATTTTAACCCTTACAGTGCCACTCCTGCATCTATTGTGGTGTTGCCAAGCTTGTGAGAAATTTTGCTGCTCATTTCAGCGAGAGATTAGTGACACTGGCTGTTTGATTCTCATCTCCTTCTACCCAGCGAGATGCAAGGCAAACATCCCCCGGAGCCTGCGGCTGCAGCATCCCCTGTGATCGCACAGGCAGAGAGGAGTGGGGGGAGAGGAGGGACAGGCCCTGCTAAGCAGTGATCACGCTCTTCGCCTGCAAAGCTAATAAACTGTGCTTTCTGCTTGCAGCATCAATTCCAGCCCTGCCCCCTAACCGTTTCTCACAACAGAAATCTTCCGCTTCTGTTATGTGCGAGGAAGGAATTATTAAAATTACCAGATGCTTTTAATTAATTAAAATCGCTCATGCTGGTTGGTCTCCTGCCAGTATGTCTAAATTCTGTCGGCGAGTTAAATAAACTTGGGAGGAAAAGCTGGGAATACAGATCATATTTCGCAGCTCAAGGCCTTTTGCTGTGGGATTTTTTAGGGCTTACAGAATTAATCAGATCTCTCTAAAAGACAGCTCTCTATTGCCCTCTCTTGCTCTGAGAAACTGGTTTTATGTAGATGGAGCAATATAGAGTATCCGTATTCAGGAGATGCTTGGTTATGTCCGAGCTGAATGTGCTATAATAATGTACTTTGTAACGAGTATAATACAGATATATTAGCAGATACAGATCTGAGAAAAGCAGCCTAGACTTGTTCTTCCTTTTCCTTCCTCTCTTTAGTTTTCTTTCTACGAGTGAGGGTTCTCAGTAATAATCTTCCTTGCCTTCACCCTGCTTTCCTTCTGTGTGCTATATTTGAGGTTCAATTTTCCTCCTTGTTTTCAGGTCCTTTATTTATATTCGTCTCGGAGACAGGGGATGCTGGTACTCATCATATGCTCGACAGAAGTGCCAGATGAGCACCAGGTTATTGCTAGCCCAGAAATCTTGCTTTCCCCCCTTTGTCTCTTCCACTTCTGAGCAAAAGAGGAGTCACAGAGCAGAAATGATGCACTTTGTTCGTAGCCACAGTGCTCGTCCTCCCAAAGGTCGCTCTTTTTGAGCAGTTTTATAATTTCAAGTCGTGTAACTGTGGAATGTAGCCAAACTGCACCCACACCCCGAACTGTCAGCTGCATGAATGTGGTCAGCAAGAATTTACGTTTTCATCAGGGTTTTTTTTCCCCTTCCTTTTCCCATGTACTCGCCATTCGTTCATTTGGCTTTCATTGACTCAGCTGCAGTTGGTCCAATTCAATTTATTTCTTCACAAAGGGCCTAGAGTAGATACCCTTATCAGCAGAGGATGCTTTCAGAGATTCCTTGTGGCATTTTCCACAGGTAATATCTAATTATCTTTGGTAATAGGAATGAACAGAGAAATACTAAAAGGGCTACGGTATTCCTGGCACAGTGCTCTTCACACATAGTGACGAGCTTGCACTCTTCCATGCACTCTTGTAGTTGTCCCAGCCGCAGTCCAGTGCCTTTATTATATGTGGGGTTGTGGCTTCTGTAACTGAAACCAAATCTCTGTCATTAGCTTTGTTAAAATGGTGAAAGTTTACAATTTTTATAGCATTTTAATATAGTATATTGCAGCAACTAGCTACAAGTTCTGTGTTGATAGACGTCCAAGCACAAATTCTGATTAAACGAATTTTGTCGTTCTCATGTCCTGTGTGATATCACTGTTACCGTCACATAAGGAAGAACTGTGTACGTCAACACGTTGCATGGTGTTTAAGTTCAAGTTATTTTAGGGCATTCTGCAGTAAGCGCAGATACCGCACAGCTATTTGTAGCGCATACAAAAAATTCTCCAAATCAAGGCTGAAGAAGGTGTTTGGTCAGTCAGAAATCAATTTTCTTTCATGGGGATTGCCTTTATTAAAGTGTTTGAAGGGTTTATATTCTTCTGAAAGCAGTCATGCTGCAGTTCAGTAAAGGGGTCATAGTGAACCAGCTAACGGGCTTTTCGGTGAGGGAGGCTGTGTTTGGTATGTACTCTCTGCACTTTGTCATTTCAGGCTGTCATCAAAGAGCAGCTCCAGGAGTCTCATGGACTGTGCGAATATGCAGTCTACGTTCAAGGTATGTCGCAGGAGGCCTCCAAAAGTCTTAATTTTGCTAAAGCAAGTTACTTCTGATTTGAGATACAGTGAACAATAAGAAGGGGAACAGATGATAGAAACATATAAAATTCATATGTGAAAAATATTTGGCTTTTTTTCTACTTGCTAGGTCTAGTTTTGAAGTTTGGGATTTTCACATGGGTGGGCAGATTAGATTTTCTGTTTTCTCCATATCGATGAGTTTGTCATCGGTTCCTCCTTGGACTGTGGGCTCTTTGGCCTTCAATGTGTTGGTGTGTGCTTGGGTTGTGTGTTTGATTGTATTACAGATGCATGTTTTCTGTTAGAGCTACCTGCCTCAGGTGATTGTTGTCGTACTGTTTGCTTTAAGGATTGTCTTCCTCTTCTTGTCCTGCCCTCCGTCCCCTAAAAAATGTGCCCCAAAACTTGGCGTTGCAATTCAAAGTGCCGTGGTGGGGGACAGCTGAGATTTGTTGGCCAAGGACATAGTGCAACCTGTAGAAGTTGAGGGGGGGAAAGCTGGACTGCCTCTTAACGGGCAATTTGCCAGGGTTTAAAGCTGCCTTTATTTTAAAGAACAGAAATTTTTCCAAGCAAGCACGAGTCCTTTGCATGCGTTGTCATTCTGCCCTCAGACACAGCTTCTGCCTTTCGGGGGGCAAGACCAAATGAGTGTTGTTATAATATATCTGTACTCTCCCTCCTTTCCCTGCTGTCAGAGAGGCACATTTTTGCCGCAGATAATGGACTAATTTGCCTGGTATATGTTGTCTTACAGCTTTGATATTTCGCTTGGAGGGGAAAATTCAAGAATCTCTTGAACTTTTTCAGACATGTTCCATTCTGAACCCTCGAAGCGCTGACAACCTGAAGCAGGTGGCACGATCACTGTGAGTGGTGTTTTATTGTTTCTCTTTGATGTGCCACGCTGGACCTTTCATGTTTGGTTTTTCTCCCAGGCATCAAGTGAAATCCCAGGCTGCTTAATCCCAGACATGCTTCCTCCTTATCAAGACTTGGGTTGGCTTCCAGAAGCGTGGGCTACCCTTAAAAGCAGAATCTCTGTTATCTGCCTGGCTGCTATTGTATTTTCTTTTTCTTTGTGCTTTAAGCAAGAGAGGTAACGCACTGATTTCTAGCTCCAGAGCTAAGGGTGCTGACTTGAGCTGTGTGAACTTGCCCTACAGACCCCTTTCTGTCTCTGAGTGTCCGGTTAGATCACCTGTCTTTTTCCTCTGAGACAAAGGCAGACTGCAGAGCCTGTGAATTCATTCCTTGCACCTCCAGTAACGTCAGGGAGCGCCTCAGCATCTCGCAGGATTGACGACCTTGGCCTGAAAGGGAGCAGTGCTCAGATTGTAATATTGCTGAGATTATAAATTTCTCAGGGCTTCTCACGCAGGTCTCTGGAGAGCTAGCAAATAGCGTCATTTCTCACTGGCAAAGTTGATAGTGGTTGCACAGCAGAGTTTCAGAGCAAGAAAAAATAAAAATTGAAATGCTTTCGCAGGTTTCTTTTGGGGAAGCACAAGGCAGCCATTGAAGTGTACAACGAAGCGGCTAAACTCGATGAAAAGGACTGGGTAAGTGTTTCAGTGAGTTGCAGATTATTGTAGTATGCAGATGTTTCTGCAGTTTTATGAAACAGCTGCAAACTTGTTCCAAGCAGAGGTGAGCTCACGCTGCCTGCAGTCTGAGCAGACGAGGAGCTGCAGGGCTGAGAGGCGTTGCCTTTTAGCACAGGCTCACGAGCACGGATGAGCCTCTGCAGCGTCTGGTTTGGATCACAGGAGCAAGGCATCGTTTCTACCTGCAAAATCCCCCACCTTGTCTTTGGGGCACAGAGAATCGAGCAACATGTTTGAGCTTTGCAAAGTATCAGTATTAACACAGCCGTATATAGTACAAAGAGCTAAATTACGTTAAGGGAAATATGGGAAGTAGCTCCCTGCTTGGAAACCTTCAGTTATCATTAAAACTTGCTTGAATAATTGGGAATGTTTTTGTAATGTAAAACACCATTGAAAAAGATTACACTCAAACTAGCTGAAAGGGTTACCTGTTACCTACCAAGCATTACCTATTTTGGCCAAACGTAGGCTGATAGCTACAGGAGCAATAATTAAATTAGCTCTTCTGTGTAAGAAGACGAAAAGTGAAGGAAGAGCACTGCAAAGGGAGATGTGTGACAGTGGGTGAGAAGAGAGAGGATGTGGCTTGCAGTTCGCCGTGGGCAGCCTTCTGCAGGTGACTGTTTTGCCTGCGGAAGTGTTGTTTCTAAGATAGACTTGCTGCATGTGATCTAATTCCCTAAGACATCAGGCACTTGCTGACTTTAGCCGTACTTTTGGTGCTCAGTATGTCTAAAATGCAGGCTTGATACAAGGATACGTTTGGTATTGTTCAAATTATCCTGTGCCAGACAACTCGGAAACCTTTTAAACTGTGGGTCTTCTTTCAAGTCTGCATTCCCTTAGCTAACCAAGCTACGTGCAGTATGTGCTTAGCATGACTATAACCCTATTTACAACCACAGCAGGCAGACTTCAGTGGGTATTTTGGTTAGTTATTTCCCATACCTGGCTCGGCACTGGAAGTAGAGCCAGCCTGTGCTCTTCCCTTGTGCTGTCTCATTCTGCAAGTTGCAGTAACCAGGAGTTACTGGTTCATTACTGTTCTCCACAGTTGGAGAGACTGTGGAGGAAAATATCATTCTAAGAGGGTTAATGGGGAAATAAGAGAGTTTCCTCTTAAAGGTCAAGGCTGTCTAAACTGAAACCAGAATAGAAACGAGGAATTAGTGGACCTTGCTTTTCAGCTCCCCAAGATGTGCCAGGGTGGGGAACGTGGCAAGTAGCTTATCTGTTAAACTATTGGTGATGAATTAGAGGCATGATTGTTCCCTACAGTGTCACTGGAGTGTTTAGGATCCCTAAGTGATCTTCCTACTCTGTTGCAAAATTGTTTAAGATGCCAGAGGGATATCAGCCCTTCTGGTGCTTGACTTCTATTTTGGAAAGGTAGGCACATCTTCAAATTTCGTCCAGCTGGGTGCAGCATTGTGCGTATCCTAATGACTGTACAGCTAGATTGAGAGCCACCCAGAAGGGCAACTTACCTAGCTTCAGAGATCTCCCTGGGAACTACGTCACATCTCGGTGAAGAAACCAGTCTTTGCTCCTTGTGCTCCAAAGAGACCATTATCATTTCTGTGTTTTTTGTCTCGGTGGCCTGTAGTCTTTTGTGTACAATCACACTTAAGCTCAGTAGGTTCCTGAAGCAACTTGAATTTATAGGTTTACTTGATCTACAAAGCCAGAAGGGTGTGGGCAGGCACAGGGGTCTCCCCATCCAGGTCAGTGATGACTGTTGTCCCTGGCAGATTATGTAGCATGTATCTCAAACCTCATGCTGATTTGGTTTTGTTTGTGGATGGGTTTTTTTCATACAGGAGATCAGCCACAACCTGGGTGTGTGCTACATGTACCTGAAACACTTCAACAAGGTAATGCAAATGCTCGTCTTATCTACCTGACAAATGGGAAGCAGGTTCCCAGAAATTTCGCTTCCTTTGGTGGAAGTGGATCGCTTGCAGTGATAGGTATCAAGGAAATGTTTTGCTTCAGCGTTTGTTTTTGGGATCAAAATTTTTTGAGCTGTCTCTGTTTTCATTTGCATGTTGAATTACTTTGAGTCAGCTGCAAGTTAGTGAAGTTGGATAAGAGTGAAGCTGAGGTTAGCCTTGTTGCTGGCCGGGAGCCTTTTTCTGAACTAGGATTTTTCAGACAGTATTTCTGTTTTAAAAAGGGATGTTTGAGAAACCTCGAAGAGCCACCTCAAACTAGACAGAAAACCAGCTGTGCTCCAACAAGAGCTTCTTTTGTTTCCAAGCCTTTTAAAACCAGAGCCATAAACATTGCTGGTTTTGTGAGGAGCAGCAGTCCATAGAGCATGCCAGTTCCATCTTCTTGAAGAACGAGAAGCATGATGGTAATGACCCAAACCGTTTCCCCAGCATACAGCTCAAACTGCTGCACCCCGTGCAGAGAGTTTCTGAAGGAAAACTTCCTGCCCCTTGGGTCTGGCAGGACTCAGAGAGAAGAGTTATGAGGTTTGTTTGCTGGAAGTGCAGCAGGCACCTTTTTTCCTCCATGGAAAGGATTTGCTCAGGTGTCTGAAGCTCTTTTTGCACCAAGCCTGGAGCAAAAGTCACAAAAGAGTATAGTTGCAGCGTGGGCAGCGCTAACTTTGTTAGCTTTGTAGCTAATAAAGAACTTCTTGGAAGCTTGAAACGGAGTTTTGTTCCCAGGTCTGAGCATGCTGTTCCCAGCTCCTCACTTAACCCTCCCCTAGGTGCTCGTGGTGAGCACTGAGCTTCTCTGATCCTGTGGGGTTACTTTGGAAGGGAAAAACCAGCATGTGGAAAACTTCTGTTCCCAGCTTGGACCAACTGCTCTCTGCTGCTCTTTCTGGTGGAATGCTGTGGTCCTTGCAGCGAACCCCTGCTGCGTTCCCTGTTCAAGGCATCGCTGTAAAGCAAGCAGCTCTGGAGTATAGGTTCATACTTGGGATTTGTTGTCTGCAGTAGTGGCTTCCAAGCTGGAACCTGCTGACTTCTCAGCTTTTCCATAAGTCTGAGATCTATTGGTCACCCTGGGCAGCAATACTTCCATGAGGACGTCTAAAGTATAATGAAGCCCTCGGGGATGACTGTCTCTTCAGTAGTTGGTGGTGACAAATATCCTGTATTGCAGAATTCTGTTTCTGTGTCAGCATTTCTCTTTCTAATATATCACATGTTCAGAGACAGCAAACATACTTTGCTGTCCTGCTGGCTAGGCCTGAGGAAGTAAGAGGAAGACATGCTTCAAAGCGTCTCCTGTTGGAGGGGATCGGTGTGTGCCTTACAAGAGCTGATTCACTCCTCTTGTTAACTTGGCAATCCATGCTCATTGCTGGAATAAGCATTTTAGCAAAGAATAAGCTGTAATGTACCTGTTAACCTGACAAATCGGGAGATTCCCTCAAACCAAACAAATTCAAATACAGGAACAGGCCCGTGCTCCTCTCCTCCTTGGGAGGTCATTGCCTCTTGTCTTGGCTTGAACCATGCCACGTTGCCTTTTTCTGTCCGTAAAAGCACATGGCTGCTGGTGCAGAACTCGTTTCAACAATTAGCTGGGCTGGGTTTTGCTAGCAGGGTTCTGTGAGCTCAGGGGGTGTTAGCTGTTCCCTTTCGCTAGCTGCTGGCGATTGCTCTTGGGCTGTTGCTTCACTGAGGTCTCTGTAATCACTTTGTTTTTTTTTTTAATCTCTGTGGTTGTGTGTTTAGGCACGAGACCAGCTAAACAATGCCCTGGAGCTCAACAGACATGATCTGACTTACATGATGCTGGGGAAAATTCACCTATTGGAGGGGGAGATGGATAAAGCCATTGAAGTCTATAAGAAAGCCATAGAGTAAGAATATATCCTTTTGTCTATCTGCCCATGTCCCATCCTATGCCAGGAGAAATTTGATTGGTGTCCCAGATCTGAATTGAGGACATGATTAAAAAGCTAATGGTAATTATAGTGTCTCTGTGCAAAGCTGGCGCTTTCAAGCTCTTCAGCTGTCTCTGCTCTCAGCTGTAGTCCTCCTCCTGCTGACAATGTGTCAGGGAAGAAGGTAGCTGTTTGAAGGTCTGCCAAAAAAAAGTGGAAAAACAAATGGACAGAGATGCCTGGGAGCAAACCTAACCAAAACTGACTTCATATATCCCAAAGGTTTATCTACCAGAGAAAATCTAACCTCGGGTGTCTCTCTAACCCTGATCGTCTGTCAAAAATCCGTTGCTGGGTTCCACATACTGCTTTCACTTGGAGTGATTTGTGTTTGAAAGCGTCTGAGTAGGCAGACTAGAGATGGGTTGGTGCACGGTGACTTTCTCCCACCCTGTCACTGTTTCTCAGTACCAATCTAT